GCAGCAGAAGTACCCTTATGAACCATGCGAAGAACAACTTTCAATAGAAAACAGAATGTTCGCAACCATCAAATAGACAATAGTGGTATACAGCACCCACCATAAATAGTACCGTAATATAAATTTTTTAGCCATCGTAAATTATACGGTAATTTGAGTAACTTCATTAGGCTTAATACCGTTGCAGTTTAGGATCAAGGTCTTCTCAGAAGGCGAGTCCGACCTACTTGAAAGTATCGGGAAAGTCGGATTCAGGAAACAAAGCACTTTCGGAGATATTTAAGCACTCACTCGACACAATTCTACAGTTATTTTTTAACAGTTCTTGCTCGATATCCCTGCCTACCAATTCGATTCCTTCATAGTGAACGTGAATAAGTTTCATGACAAGCAAATCTCGCGATTAGTCAATCACGCATTAGTCAATCAAAACTTCAACGTCAAAGTCCAAGAGTATACAACTTTAACTCTCCTTACCAACATAACTGTCTGTAAGGAAAGCGGACCGATCGGAGACAACCTTCGTAACCGCGAATCCGCGTCTGAACATTTTATGGTCCTTCGAGCCGGATCTTCGGCCTAGTGGTGACTAACAAGTGATTGAGTGATTCAACGAAGTGTAATCAACAGCAAGAAACAAAAAACAATGACCAACAAAACACCAATATATCCAGCTGAATACACGCAATTGTCGTCGACGGCAGAGTTTAGTTACGACGTAAACGCGGTAGAATTCTCAGAACGCTAACGTCATTTACGAAGTTCCTCGATGCACAACAAGAAGCTGGGGAATACGACCACGGTCTCATTCAGATTCACCTCGATGGAATGAGACAACAATGGGAAACATTCGACGAAAACAATCAAACATCGAAGAACTTGATCCTTCGGAGGAATCACGCAGCTACGAGATTCAAGCAAATTACTACGCAATTGTCAACCGCGCAAACCAATTGATTCAGACAAAACCATCCATCTCACAAACAGTCACTGCTCCAATGGCAGTAAAACTACCAGAAATGAATTTGCCAAACTTTGACGGCGCATCGGAATCATGAGTTTCGTTTTTCGATATTTTCATCGGTGATCGAACAAAACGAAGCTCTCACACAGTCCAGAAGCTCCAATATTTGCGATCTACACTGCGGGGAAGAGCAGCCAG